CTTGTTCTTCAAGAAAGGTAACAACGCTCTCTTGAAGAACTACAGACCGATTTCCCTTGTGAGCCGCGTCTACGTGCTGTTTTCGAGAGTCATTACGAATCGTCTCGCGCGCAGACTTGACGACTTCCAACCTCCCAAACAAGCCGGTTTCCGAAAGGGCTTTAGCACCATATACCACATACATACCCTTCGGCAAATTGTACAGAAGTCCGAAGAGTACAATTTGCCACTATGTCTGGCGTATGTGGACTATGAGAAAGCCTTTGATTCCGTCGAAATTTGGGCGGTGCTGCAGTCCCTTCAGCGGTGCCAAGTTGACTATCGGTATATCGAAGTGTTGAAGTACTTGCACAGTAGGGCTACGATGGCTATCCGAGTACAGAACCAGAGTACGAAACCTATCCAATTGCAGAGAGGTGTAAGACAGGGTGACGTCATATCCCTGAAACTCTTCACCACTGCATTGGAAGACGTTTTCAAGCTTCTGGACTGGAAAGGATACGGTATCAACATCGATGGCGAGTACATCACTAACCTTCGATTTGCCGACGATATAGTCCTTATGGCAGAATCGCTGGAGGACCTAAGCACTATGCTCAATGACCTCGATAGTGTTTCCCAACGGATAGGTCTTAAGATGAACATGGACAAAACAAAGATCATGTTCAATGTCCATGTCACACCTATGCCGGTAATTGTTGGGAGCACTAAGCTCGAAGTTGTTGACGAGTATGTTTACCTGGGATAAATAGTCCGGCTAGGTAAGTCCAACTTTGACCGAGAGGTCAATCGACGGATTCAACTCGGCTGGGCAGCGTTCGGGAAGCTACGACACATCTTCTCGTCAGACATACCTCAAAACCTGAAAACGAAATTTTACAACCAGTGCGTGTTGCCAGTGATGACTTACGGAACTGAGACGTGGTCCTACACTGCTGGCCATATGAGGAAGCTCAAGGTCGCTCAGCGAGCTATGGAGAGGGCTATGCTCGGAGTTTCTCTGCGCGATAAACTTAGGAATAAGGATATCCGCAGTAGAACCAGAGTAACCGACATAGCCCAACGGATTAGTAAGCTGAAGTGGCAGTGGGCCGGCCATATAGCTCGAAGAACCGACAACCGATGGGGAAGAAAGGTTCTCGAGTGGCAGCCTCGTACCGGTAGGCGAAGTGTAGGGCGTCCCCCCACGAGATGGAGTGACGACCTGGTAAGACATGCAGGAAGTCGATGGATGCAGGTGGCTCAGGACCGTGCTTTGTGGCATTCTTTGGGGGAGGCCTATGTTCAGCAGTGGACTTGTGAAGGGCTGTAATGATGATGATGATGATGATTTGCAGAGACCAGTGATCCTAAACTCCATATTCTTATACTACATTAAGACTTCTGCACATATATATTTTTTCTATGTTTTTAATGTCAATTAAGATTTTTACGCGTCCCAATGATGAAGACTGTGGAAGATTTGTTTAATGTTTTGAGTTTGACCTTTTTTGGAGAAAGAGGAAGAAACTTGTTCTCTCTTAAAGGTGATGAAAAAATTGGTGGCCGACAAGGGTGTGGTCGCAGATATGTTTGTTATCGTCCTCGTGGCTCTACTCAGTACCGGTTCAATACAATGCAATTTGATATGTTTTATAGAATTAAATTGACAAGCGTATTAAGCGCATTAAGCTGCTATTTTACACTGGTATCCTGTGAGAACGTGGTCCTTCCCCGTCCAAGCCTCAACGACTCGACTCAATATTGCTACAACCATTATATAGTTACAGCTTTGCTCTACCACGTACAAGTTGATGCTATTGTCGAACTTCATCAGATAAATTTTATTTAAATGCATTTACGAATCACTGTTCTTAATCCACCTACAATTTTATATCGCTCAAACCATTTGTTCCAAATATTTCGGGAATTTAAATTCAACCCTTGTTTATGGAGCATCTGGTGCAAATCATACTGAGTCACGTTGTCATAAGTCACGTACTACCGCGGTCGAGGACGGATCTTGTACACAGGTGACGACTTCCCTTTCTTAGCTCATTTATCACGCCGCTTGTGGACATTACATAACATTAATAATCAGAACCCCGAGGATAATGACAAAACGTGCTTTAAATTTTCCTTAAAATATCCCCTCTATATATAATTTATTTTGTAACGAGCGACATTCCCCGGCTTCGCCTGGATAGGATCATTAATGTGGCGTTATTTCGATTTAAGATAATGGAAGACTATTTACTTTACTAATATTTCGTTTTTTTTTTTAAGAAAAGAATCTTTCAAATTTCAGATAAAATCATGCCTAGCTCAATTCTTATATTGTTCTATATCTGTTCATATGGATTCATCACAATCGGTCTATCCATTTCAAAGATTAGTCCGAACAGACAGAAGAATAAAAAATATGGCTGTTCATGTCTTAATAGCATGCAAATACTCGTAACCCCTTGAGCTTAATAAAAGCCAGTTATTTAAATATTGCAGTCAGACACTTTAATTTTATTTTATTTTTTATAGGTTCAGGGTGACAAACCAGCACACAGTCCACCTGATGGTAAGTGATTGCTGCAGCCCATAGGCATCCTCTATTATAAATCAAAATGCAGATGCATTGTCACCCGTGAGAACTAACATGGAATGCCTCATTTCCAGTAAAAAGGGTCTCCGGTTCTCTACCCTCACCATACGAAACACAGCAATGTCAAGCTGCTATTTTACGCTTGTATTCTGTGAGAGCGTGGTACTTCCCTGGGCGAGCCGACCCATTCATACTACAACTATATTACTAATGAAGCTGCAGCATTGCTCTACAAAGTATAAATTATTTATAGAATGTACTTAATATTGATTGAATGTACTGGCGATGTAAAAATATTCACTAACCCATATCATGGCGATAGGCAGCAGCGTCTTCCTAATAACTCTTAAATAAATAACGTTTAAATTCTGGCATATTTAAACGTTATCGCCACACATTCGTCACACACGATTCATATAATGAGGTCCTTAACGTTGAGTTTTTTTCCGTTAGAAGTTGCTCTGAATACGTTCGTAGACACTTCAACTGCACACATACGCTTCACAAAAAGCACACCTCCTAAAAGGGTTGCGTCTCGTTAATTGCACTCGACTTTTTCTGTATGGTCTTGCAATCGGATTTTTTTTCGATATCGTTTCTACAATAAAAGCCAGTGCTAAAGATGATAAAAATTAACTAACTCAGATCCGCGTAGTGAAATAAAATTATGTCCCTTAACTAGTTTGTAGAACACCTTCCTCAATTGCCTGCACTATCCACGTCACCACTAATCCCAGTATCACTATACCCAACACTACTACACTATGAAAGACATACGTGAAGTCCACATACAGTCATGGTGGCAGCACAGCGGATACATTTTTCTTTTCAACCCTCTCAGCAATGCCAGGAAACCTACGCCCGGCTAAGAGATGTATAAAGATTTTACACTGAAAATTAATCTATTCTATCTTATTTTATTCAAGACGGGCGTCATACGTGGCCTGTTATAAGTTTTTTTTTACGTGTAAGGAACGAACACATACTTGATTTGATGGCAAGTGGTAGCACTGTGGCCTATATTATATTCTATTACGGTGAAAATATTTATCCTCGATCAAGAATCAAAATGAACATGCGTTGTCACCTCCGTGGAATGCCTAAGATAGAATGCCTTGTATTCAGTAAAACGGTCGCCGGTTCTATACACTCACTACAACAGCACAGCAGCATTAAGCTGTTATGTTACGTTGGTATTCTCTGACATCGTGGTCCTTTCTCGGTCACTCTCTGGCCACTCACTTTCTCGCTGGCCCATTCGTACTACAACCATAATATAGCTGCAGCATTCCTCTACCACGTATTAAAAAAACTACTGTATCTAATTCGTTCCTTTAGTATATTGCAACACCCACGGGTTGACCGTTACTGTTACAGCCTATTAAAGTCCACTGCTAAATATAGGCCTCCCCCATAGATTGCCTCATTGGGGTGATATTTGCCACAGATGCCCCGCTTGGCAATCGGTTTGGTAACTGCAGTTTCTTTATTTTTAGTCCTTATTAGGAAGACGCTGTTGTCCATCTCCTGATTTGTTTCCCTCTGTACTTTATTCTGTATTTTAAGATACCCAGAATGTGATATGGGGTAGTGGATATTACTACATGGCACATTTAGATGACTACACATTATTATAGCACGAGTATTTAACATAATATTAAAAAATCCCACATCCCACATGATAGCGAAACCGCTGCATTATATTGTTTGTATCTTGGCAAAATTTTACATATTATTGACTTTTATGGAAGGAGACGCCTTCTTGCTTATTCCAAACACAAACATACCTGATTTGCCTCCCAATCCTACAAAGATACCGGAACAATCCAATCAGACCCGGGCCTAAAGTAGTTTAATCCCGGAAAATTGCGGACTAAATGTCATCTCAACTGCTTTTGACACAAAAGCAGAGACTGATATTAGTTTAATGAAATAATTTTAAAGTACTTTTAACATTTATGTTTATGAATACTGTTTTCATTTTGAGTTAATTTTAATAGGGAAATAATAATGGTTCCGAAAAACAAATTAATCTCCAGCGATCTGTGGCCGACTATTATTCTAATTAACCGGCATTATAATAAATTACCGTCAATAAAACCCAATATATACCGAAAAAAATTACAAATTTAAGAAACAAATGAGAGAACGGTCAAATTACATTTCTCCTAAAAAAAATAGATCTTCGAATAACAAAAATAAACTTCCGAATAAAATACTGAACCTCCGACAAGATTACTAAGTTATCGACAACAAAGGTTTTGACAAAATAATCATATTTTTAGGACTTGCATGAACTATTATAATTTCTATTGTTGGTTATCAAATATATTTTTAACTCTCAATAATGATGAAAATACCTCAACTGTTTGTCCCGCGCGATCGGGTTCGGGTCGCGTTCGGGTGTTTTCGCGAGGTCGGATGGATGTTCCGAGCGCAGTGCGCTTGCAACGACCGATCCTTGCGTATTTTGATAAAGATTTTATCATCCAACACGGCATACACTGAATACTTGATCGTAAGTAGTAGCCAAGTAGGAGAGGTATCGTACGGTGAGCAGTGGTTAAACTTTGAAGATTACAAGATGAAACATTTTGCTTTCTGGAAAGTCATAGCGCCTAAAAACGAAGCACAAAATGTAGAATGGAGAAAAGGATCCTGCACTTGCCCACAGTTTCATAAAAAATACGTTTGTAAACACCTTCTAGGGCTCGCTATTAGATTGAAGCTCGCGACTCCACCTATGGAAGCGAAAGCACTACCTATAGGACAAAAAAGGAAACGGGGTCGTCCTACTAAATCCAGACCTGCTCTTAAAATACAATGAAGATAATTAAGATACTGACAACTTACTACCTACCTCCCTATTTAGTTCATAAGTACAGTTATGTATGACATTTTGTACTACCTAGTTATATCGCCTCAATCCGTCCCTGGCTCAATATTCCAAACAGCCACATCAGCACATGCGTGAGAACTCGAGTGATAATTCTAAAGTAATGTAAGACGATATGATAATTGTACTAGACTTATTTTATTAACATTTAATATGGATGCATTCTGTAACTAACCACCTTCGAAAGAACATTAAATCATTTTATACTTTAAATTGTGTTTTTAAAAAGACTGTCGAGGTTCGTCGCAATTTAAGTGGCGCAGCCGGTAGGATATCCGTATATATTCTGCTGTCGTGCTAACGCCTTTCGGACCCCAAAATCGGTTTAAGCGTCAGTATAGCAGTCAGGTACGGATATCCTCGAACCAAACAAATAACTCCCGCGACACGCGCGCTATCGTTTCCAAATCAATCGATTACGCGCATTGGATCATCGGCAGTATCGAAGTGGTCAGAATCAACTGGAGGACATGGGATTGAACATACTGTGAGTAAACCTCTTCACTTCCTGTTTACATTTATCCCATTCTTTTCCGCATTTTCCGGACTAAAATTGTCGGGCCAAATTATTTGCAATTATCTGATTTTGTTGGCACAAAATAGGCCGATAATATTCTTGCTAATAGTTTAAGTTAGATTAAGTAAGATAGTTTAAATAAAAATGGCAGTAACTGTTATTCCAGCACATATTTTAGACTTGATTCCTAAATACGATGGGGATGAAAAATTACTCAATTTATTCATCTCAAAATGTGAATATGTTTTGTTAAATTCAGGAGGCGATAATACTCCGATTCAAAGTTTATATAGATTCCATGCTATAAGTAGTAAGCTTAGTGGTAGAGCTGCGACTCTACTTAGTGATAACCCTAGTTTAAGTACGTGGGAGGATTTAAAAGAAATTTTGACCCAGCATTTCGGCGACCCCCGTTCAGAGGAATGTATTGCTATTGAACTAGAATCTTTAAAAATCAAACAAGGAGAGTCATTTATTCAGTTTTGTACTAGAATACAAAATGTAAAAAGTTCTTTATTCGCTAAAGTCCAAAGACATTGTGATGAAGGAATAAAGGCAGCCAAAATGATTATATATAATAATACCGCTTTGAACGTATTTTTGTACAATTTACCTGAAGACCTTATTAGAATTGTCCGACTCAAAGGCTGTTCTACTTTGGAGATCGCTTTAAGTATAGTCACAGAGGAAATTAACTTCTTAGCTCAGTATAACGCCAAAAACAATAAAGCCAAACCAGTTCAGCAATTAGCTCTGCAAAGTTTCGTGAGACCAACTGCATTTATAAATTCGAATTTGACACCAAACAATAATAATAATAATAGTAATTTCAAGTTTGGTGTACCCAATAACCAGATGCATACGAATAAATTCACAGCACCTCAACAAAGCTACCATTTTGCATCACCACAAAATTCAATGCCACGTAATTTCAATCATCAATTTACCCAACAACCACGAGCACCATTCCAAGTTGGTGGATTTAAATTTGGCATTCCCCAACATCAAGCTCAAAAATACGGCATGCAGAATCAACAACAGCCTAATCAGTTTAGATACGGCTTTCAACAACAGCCTAATCAATTTAAATACGGCTTTCAACAACAGCCTAATCAATTTAAATACGGCATACAACAGCAACCCAACCAATTCAAATTCGGCATACAAAATCAACCGCCCAAAAACGTTTACGACACTGACGTATCTATGCGTACCGCACCAATTAGGCAAAACATGACGACGAATGATTTGTTTTTTAGCGAGGAACCTTCAACATCATGTCAAGATTTCTCTCACGATAATAATGACGGTTACTACTACGACCACTATGATGGTTTTGTAGAAGACCCTTCTTTTGAAGGTCAATACCTAGAAAATTTTAATGAAATTAATAATGAAGATAATGCAGTACCTGAAAATTTTCCGATAGTAGCCCTCGAAAGCCCTCCGAAATGATCCATCTTAATTATTGCGATAGCATTTTAAAATTACCTCATATAGTAATTCCCGAAATAAATTCGAAATTTCTAATAGATACCGGAAGCAGTAGATCCTTTATTAGTCCTGCCAAGGCTAACCAATATTTTGGTGAATTTAAATACAATGAACCTTTCACAGTTGTAAGTACCCATGCGCAAAGCACGCACGATGAAATAATTTTTATACCGCTTTTAAAAACATTCAAAAGTACTCTTCCACATAAATTTTACATATACGACGTGGATGGTAGATACGACGGCCTTATTGGGTCAGACTTATTAAAAAAATTGGCAGCTAATATCGATATGAACCACCAAATTTTACGAACACCTAATACTGAAATCCCAATAATTTATAATCCACCTTATGAAATTAATTTAGAACCAAGATCGGAAACACGAGTAAAAATACCCACCAACTTACAAAACGGGGACGCAATCATTGATTTTACACAATTTAGTGAGGGAGTTCGTATGCCATGTGCCCTTATCAAGTGTGATAATTTCTTTGCCGAAACCATTATTCAAAATGTGTCGAACGAAAAAGCTAATATTAAATTTATAGAACCGTTTAATGTAACTGTATTTGAAAATAATGAGTGTGCCATAAATGTGATAAATTCCGATTGCGAGATAGATGAGATTTTAAAAGAAAATTTAATTAAACTACGATTAGATCATACAAATGAAGAAGAACGGAAAGCTATAACTAAATTATGCTATGAATACCGCGACATATTTTATAGTGAGAAAATTCCGCTTTCTTTTACAAATCAGGTAAAACATAATATTAGAACAGTTAACGAAGATCCTATATATATCAGACCGTATCGCCACCCACCTTCCCAAAATGAGGAAGTACAAAGACAAGTAGACAAACTTCTTCAAGATAACGTAATCCAAAATTCTCACTCACCTTGGAGCGCACCGGTTCACTTAGTCCCCAAGAAACCAGATGCATCCGGGCAGCCTAAATTTAGAATGGTTATAGATTATCGGCGATTAAATGAGAATACAATAGACGATAAATACCCGTTACCTAATATAACTGACCTTTTTGATAAGTTAGGCAAATCTGTATATTTTAGTACCCTTGACCTGGCAAGTGGCTACCACCAAATAGAAGTTAATGAAGCTGATAGGCCAAAGACAGCTTTCACAACTCAATCCGGTCACTATGAATTCAAACGCATGCCGTTTGGATTAAAGACAGCCCCTGCAACTTTCCAAAGAGCAATGGATAATATCTTAAGAGGCCTCCAAGGTCTCCATTTCTTAGTGTACCTCGATGACATAATTGTGTATTCGGCTAGTCTTCAGGAACATATTGAACAATTAAGGAAAATTTTTGACCGTCTCAGAGAAACTAATTTAAAAGTCACGTTAGATAAATGTGAATTTTTGAGAAAAGAAGTTCTATATCTAGGTCATACGATTACAAAAGAGGGTTTAAAACCAAATGACGAAAAAATTAAAGCAGTACTAAAATATCCATTACCGCGTACAGCCACCGAAATAAAAAGTTTTCTCGGGTTAGTAGGGTATTATAGAAAATTCATTAAAGACTTCGCTAAACTTACACAACCGCTTACCTCTTGCCTGAAAAAGAAAAACAAAATTGAGATTACAAAAGAATATATAAAAGAATATAGACGCATTTGAAAGATGTAAAGAGCTTTTAACAAACGCCCCACTTTTACAATATCCTGACTTCTCTCGACCGTTCGTTCTCACCACAGATGCGTCGAACTTTGCTCTCGGTGCAGTTCTATCGCAGGGACCTATCGGTAGTGATAAGCCTATTATAGCCTTTGCAAGTCGTACGTTGAACGATGCTGAAACGAAATACAGCACAATAGAAAAAGAACTTTTGGCAATCGTTTGGGCAGTTAAACATTTCCGCCCTTACTTATATGGAAAAAAATTTACAATTTACACTGATCATCGCCCTTTAGCCTGGTTAAACTCCATTAATGAACCGAATAGCAAACTAACTAGATGGAAGTTACGCCTATCGGAATTTGATTACGAAATAGTGTATAAGAACGGGAAACAAAATTGTAACGCTGATGCTTTATCTAGAATTAAGATTAACGCCTTAACTGATAACGATGATGTTTCCATGCAAGTGAATGTAGACAAAAACGAAAAAAAACTTCAACGCCATTTGAGCAATGTAGTCTCTAAAATTGTACAGCTAGGTAATTCGAATCAGGCGGGAGACGTAGTAACAGTATCATCCGATTCGGAAACGTTAAGTATTCCCTCTTTACATGGTAGACAATCTCCATATCCGATACCATCTCCAAATAGTAGCACCGCCACAGCTTCTGAAGGACACAGTAGTAACAATACAGTACATTCGGCTAAAGACATAGACACAGCAAGAATATTAATTCTCCAGGAAGCGATTGATACGAAACCGAATCAATTACTCGTTCATACCTGGAACAGAAATGAATGTTCGGTTAAAAACTTGTCTAGGGATAAACAGAACATATTGGAAGTTCACTTACCATTAAACAATTTGGATTTAATTAAAAAATTCCTGAAAGAGTATATCAGACCTAATAAAGTATTTTTCATTTTACGGAATTCCATCCAAAATCAGTTCAGATCCCGGTATGGAATTTAATAACGTACTCTTAAAGGAAATGCTAACATTATACAAAATCAATCTACACATTGGTACTGCGCACAACCCCAACTCTATGGGACTTATCGAAAGGTTTCATTCAACTATTACTGAAATTTACCGAATCGCGAAATACGAACATAAAATTACAGACGCAGCGTCAGTGATGACGTATGCTGTTATGTCATACAATCATTCAATTCACTCTTCGACAGATCTAACGCCTTTTGAAGTAGTATTCGGACACACCGAATCCAATAGTACATTTGCCATTAATTTCGATAAGCAATCCACACAGCAG